TTAAAAAAATATTAATACTTTATTAATTAATAATAATATAAAATTAATTAATTTATATAATTATAATCTATATTAAAAATTAGAAACATAAAAAATATAATAACAAAATATTATAAAAGTTGAAGGGTCAAAACTGAAAATATCAAAAGGTTAAAATTGAAAAATAATATGTAGGAGGGGGTATAGAAAATGTAGGGGGAAGAGTGTAGGAGGGGGTGGGGTTAGAAAACCCCAAAGTGAAAAAGTGAGTATAAAGGGTATTTTGGTCATTTAGTATTTTAAGACTTTAAGAATTTTGTTAAATTTGTTTAATAAGATAGTATAGATTAAAGTAATTAAAGTAAATTGGAAGATTAAACTAATTAAAATATATTGAATAATCAACACAAATTACTAATTTACTCTTTTTATTTAAAAAAATGTTAATTATCTTAAATGATTGGCTCATATTGGATCTTACAATTATTACAGACTAATTAGTTCTCATTTGATTAGACCTATATAATTAATATTTTTCTTAAAATAAGTAGAAAGATAAATTAGTAATTTGTGTTCAATTTACTTTTAATTAGATTAATATTCTAATTTTGAAATAAATGTGTGTGTGTGTGTATATATATATTAGAATGGACGAGATCACCAGCTATGACCATCTTTCCCCATGCCGGTCAAAACGTGTTTTCTCTCCGGTGCGACACTTTACACCGATCCCTTTGTCCAACACCATCTGATGCCTCCTTCTTCGCCCATCTTCGGCCACCACTGCTTCTTATTCTCTATCCATCTCCAACCACCGACCATCATCTCCTCAACTCTCACCTTCACCAGTTGACTCCCAATGTTGAACAACCCAGACCGTTTTCGGTTTTTCATATCCCAAGAGATCTGGTTTCTACACACACATATCGGTTTTCGGTTTCTAGTTTTTGTTTAGATCTCTTTTTAGATTGGGGACGTAACCCAGATCTTGCAAGAGATGTAACCATATACCGTCGGAAATGTAACGCAGAAGATGTAAAGTTTTTGGATGTAACCTAGATCTCTTTGGAGATGTACCGTCAAGTGTAATACAATGGTAACACATTGGTATCACAGTTGGATTCATCAACCAGATCTGGTATCATTGTGTGTATCACAATATATTTTTGTTGTTATACCAAGTGTATCACAATATATTTTTGTTGTTTTACGAAGTGTAATGCAACATATCAGGTAATGTTGCTTTACTAAGTGTATCACACTGTGTGCTTTTCGTTATTTTACGAAGCGTATTACAGTGTGCATCATGTGTTTGTCGGAATAAGGTTCATCAGAATAAAGTTCGACAAAGAGATAATAAAGGATATATAAGATTTTTAAAATACCTAAAATGCCCTTTAATTAAAAATTTAAGTCAAATTACCAAAATTATTATTTTCTTAATTTAACTATTAATTAGTGATTGAAATTAAATCTCACAGTTATCACAAACTAATCACTTCATTCTTAAATTACCCCTTTTATATATACGCAGACACACATATACAAAATATAATGCTTATATATTTTTAAACTTTTAAAAAAAGAAAATTAGGGGAAGGAGTAATATTTACCAATGGAGTTAACGCCAAGGATTCAAATGGTAAAGAATGAAATCACAAGGACCAAAAGTGTAATTCACTCAAAATTCTATGTGGTATCTGTCTCTTCACACTCTTGATTGCTGACATTAAATGTGTCGCACTCGATCTAAACCAACAAAGCCCTCAGTATTAAACTCCTGGATTCAAGTCCCCATCAACATCTGTTCGCCTCCGCTTCTCTCTCTTCAAACCACCACCACCACCACCACCACTTTCTCTCTCTTCAAACCACCACCACCACCACCACTTTCTCTCTCTAACCATACCAATTCGTCACTACCATTCTCAAATTCCAATCTATAATCCAGTCTCTCCTATCTCGTTTCTTTCACAATTTGACATGCCAAACACCAATCGCCACCGCAATTATGACACCCACCGCCACCATTCACCACCCAAACGCCACCCAAAACTCTTGTCAATCTTTCTTAAGTTCATCGTTATGTCCCTTATACTCTCTCTCTTCCTCATCTTCCTCGGCCTTGCTGCCATCATCCTACTTCACGTCCTTCTCGTGGCCTGCTTCTTCCACGGCCGTCGCCGCAGCCGAAATATCACCCCACCACCCACCTCCTCTTACTCTCTCCTCGACTTACAGACCCACCTCCCTCCGTTTCAATACTCCTCCTCCTCCTCCTCCGGTGACTGTTCGATTTGCTTGGAGAATTTCAAAGAAAGAGAGTTCTGCCGATTGCTTCCGGAGTGTGATCACGTATTTCACGCAGACTGTGTGGATTCATGGCTAACCAAGGTGCCAAATTGTCCCGTTTGCCGGAGACGGGTTCGACTGGAAGTTGATCGGTCGTCGGATCCGATTGACAGTGACGATGACTGTAAATTCTTGTGGGTAATTGGTGCAGGTAGGCAGATAGGGGTTGGTTACTAGAATCTTCATGATCGTTTTCCCAATTCGACTTCTGTTTTCATGTAAATATATGCTGTTTTAGTTCAAAGAAAGATTCAAGCTTTTTAGTTCTTGCAGTGAGTTGTTTGAATCTTGATCTGGTTTGAATATTAGTTTTGGATCTATTTGCACATGATGTTCCTGGAAAGAGTGAAATTCAATTTGATGCAATTCGGAGACTTTAACCTTGTGATTGCACTCTTTGGGTTTGAGGAAGAGAAATAGCGAAATCAAGAGCAGGAATGCTTTAGAGAGTTGTAAATTATGAAGTCGAAGTTGTACACTGTCCTCCAGGGACTTCATGGCTTGGTACTGGTTATGTTTTGTATTTCGGGTTATGGGTTAGGTCCTTTTTCTTCCATTATAAAAAAAGGTTACTTTTCCTTTTTTATTCTTTTCTTTGGATTCCATGTCTCGTCAAATCATTATTGATGCATTATAAGTTGTCAATACGGAATAGAGGTCAAAATCGTCCATCGGGATGATTTGTACAAAATGAGGGCGATTTCATATATATCTGATTTTTTCCCCAAATAATATACACGAGGAACTCATCCGTACTTTACAGTCAAAATCGTCCCAAAATAGTTAAAATCTCCCTCCAGAAGCGATTTTAGTGGCCATTTTTGTAAAAAGTCTTTAAAAAGTAGTCATTTTATTAGTGCATCGTATATAAAATAGTTATTTTAGGTAATTTTCCATATGTTTTTTGTTATGCTTTGAAAATCTTGTATATAAAGATGTTAAAGCATGGATAAATTTGAACGTTGACTGTATTCTTGCTTCCATTTCTCTTACGATTTTTTTTATTTTTAGTATTTGACTCACAAAAATCACAATTAGAATCAATTTTGACGAATTATTTATAAGTGTTTACACGCATTTAAGAGAGTTTCATAACAAATATATACATTTTTAGGGGTGTTTGAGATTGTTATTTAAAACAACTTATGTTTTTCTATAAAAGCAGTTATCAATTTATTATAAGTCAGAAGACTTTAACTTCTTCAAAAATTTCTTATTACCGATTTGATACCGATATAAGTTGTTTATCCAAACACTAAAAAATGTTTATTATCGGTGTCACACCGAAAAAAGTCAATAAATTATTTTTATAAACAATTTCAGACACCCCTTAATAGTGTTTGTTTTAGTGATAGATATTTCATGTAAGGAGTGTCTTATAATTCAACTCATAAAAAATAAGTCTCATAAAAATCTTTGTATGTAAATTTAACTTATTTTATAAATAATAAATAGTACTTTCCGTCGAAAAACAATTGTTCAATTTTTTATTTATGGTAGTTCCAAAACAAGTGTTCAATTTAAAAAATAGATAAGTAAAATATCAAATATACCCTTAACTAATGCATAAATATTTTAGAGTTGTCAAAAGAAAGAAATTAAATAAAAATAAAGTTGTAATTTAATTAATTAAAAAATATAATAATTATACACGTCAAAAATTATATATTATTTAATTATATACATTTATTTTGAAACCGAAAAATATAAACAAATGTTTGTTTTACTTTTGAAACTACTTTGACAATTTCAAGAAATGTTACATTGTCCGTACTTGTATCAAAATGTATTGTATTTTTTTTAACTACAATTTTATGAAATATATTTTTTAAAACTCTATTTTAAAGAATTATCTGTAATATTTTAAGATTACATTTGTATATAATCATGTATTTCATATATATAACATATTTGGTCTTAATATCTAGAAAAACTACATTACAAAAGTAGTTACCAAATTTTTTCACATAAGATCAGTACAAAACTTGTATACATAACAAGTATTCAAGTACAATATTAACATATCATCTCAAACTCCACATGCAAACAAATCATAAAATCTTCATAATTTTTCCTTCCCTTGATCAACCGATTGTGCCCGACTTGTAATGCACATTTTAAAACAACAAAATGAAGGTTAGACCATTAGTCTAGTGAAAAATCCCTTTGATTGCAATTACAAAGGTGAAAATCAGCAAAGCATTTTTATAAAACTCATATTTGTATAAATAATAAATAAACAACGTTTTATCAAAACAAACCTCTTTTGTTGCATCAATAAGATGATACAACACCCATTTATCGCATCAAATAAGAAAATAACCCATTAATTTGTTGCATTATACATAAACTCATCGCATAAAAAAAGATATAACCAAAATTTCCTCGTATCATATGGGTGAGACAACCCCATTTCCTCGCAACACACCAGTGCGAGGACTCATCTCATCGCATCCAATGTATGTGATAAACACACCTGATGCGACAACTCAATTTGTCGTATCACAAGGATGCGACAAAACTCCTTTCTCGCATCAATAAGATGCGACAAAAGCCACTCATCGCATCAATATGATGCGATAACCCAAGTCATCGCATCACACAGGTGCGATGACCCAAAGTTATCGCATCATAAAGATGCGACAACAGATTATCATATGATCAAAATCTCAGTTTTCACATTCGGTTGATTATGCCACCCTTATATCACAATACGCCTTTCCTGATTATGCTACTCTTATCCCAAAATACGTCTCTCCTTATTATGTCACCCTTATCCCAAAATACACATCTTCTGATTATGCCACAATTATTCCAATTATTTGATATAAACATATCAACATACGAAATTATGCTAAATATAACATATAACGGTCTCAAAATTTTCCCACGTAAAGAACCATACGGTTCTGTTTTAACACAGTAAGATGATTATAAATTAAAACTCACCATATAATCACAATGATATGCAAACTTTAAACAACAACAATTCCAGGAATTAATAATAGAAATCAACTTCTTTCTTTCCTTCTTTGACTGCTTCTGTTTTTCTCGGCTCAATCAACACACAGAGAAATTTTACCTTTTTACCCACTTACCATTCCAATGAGATAAACAATTATCTCATAATAACAAGCATAAACAATCAAGAGGCGGTGAGAGTTAAAACATATTTTAAGCATACTAACACATCAAATCCCTCAACTTTCCATCATTAATAAAAAATAACCCCAAACTTTTTAACCGATAACCAGGCATCACATTATCTATATTTTTTATGCAATTAAGAAAATATATTACAATTTTTTAAACAAAAATTGAATATATATACTAAGTTTATAGAAAGCCATATCTTTAAAAAAATTAAACTTTATTTGAAATGATCTTTACTATAGATATGTAAAATATGGAACTTTTGAAAAATAGATCTTTCAAAATTTAGGAACTGTTTACTGAAGGCTTACCCAATATGAGTTTATCAGGTTATTTATTTTGTCGGATGAACATGATAAGGGCCGAAAACCCCTGTAAGAGCTATGACAAAGATGAAGAGTTTTACCCGGTAGTGAGAGCGATGAGTTTTACCTGGTAATTACCCAGTAAACGTTTATCAAGTAAATTGTTACATATGGTAACGTTTTAATGAACTACCTTCTCTTTTCCAAAATAAGTGTTTGCATTTCTATTAATATTTGTCCTAAAAATAAGTGCATACTTTCAAAAGTAAATAACCAAATTCTCAATTTACTCTTAATTAATGAACAAATATTTAAGAATTATGAAGAGAGAGAAATTAAATATGGGTAAATATGTCATTTCATCAACAAAAAATGGATAATTATGGAGGCTTAAAACTATGTTTCATTTTTTAATTGTGGACATTTATTTTGGGACGAAAAAATATAATTTTTACCTGGTAAAGTAAGTTAAAAGCGTCGACTTTTATCAGTAAGCACTTATCAAGTCGGTAAACGCTTACCAAGTAATCGCTTAGCCGAGTATAGCGTTTGAGTAAACGACTCCTTAGACATGATTTTAGATTCCGACTTTGAATGCATATTTGAACGAAAACTACAACAAAACTTATGTTGGTGATGGTTAGATAACTTTATTTTTATCTTCAAAAATTGGTTTTGTTGCAACAAAATTCTTATATAATTTTTCGTGAAAATATGTGAAACCCATTTAAATTACTCTTCAAAAGAGAAGGGGGTTTGAACATGATATTCAAGACATGATGTCCAAATCTAAGAGGTTGTTTGACAGTTGCTGAATGATTTGGTGCAAAATGATTAAGTGGTCAGAATGATTAAGAGACTCTTATGATGTAGTGCAAAATGAAATATAATTGTTTATAATAGAATTTGGGTGTTGAATGGTTAAGGGAGGCCCATGATACAAAATCATTCAGAGGGTTTTAGAACCATTAAGAAACAAATCTTTTTTTTTTGCCAAACAAGATTCACCTCTTAACGATTCAGAGGCTGCTTCTTAATGAAACTATTAGGAGGTAAACAAACAACCCTTTAACCGATATTGAACGCTAATTAACACCTCTCAAAATCTGGTTGTCAATTTCTTATCCAAAAAAATTTACAATGGATTTGTTGAAAGTTGGAAAACTTAAGAATTGAAGCCATATGTTAAATATTTCTGTCTTTTAATCGTAGTTAATAGCATGAAACCAAAAGGCATACTTTATGGGTGAAAGTGATGAAGTCATATTCCTCCAATATTCAACAAAGAACAACGCCTATCGTGTCTTCAATAAAAGAGCATAGAGAAAATGCAGTTAGATGTTGTGATATATAGAAGTCATGAAATCCATGTCTATGAAAAGAAGATCAGAAGTTGACACTACAACAAAATCGGGTTTATAGGATACTCTCAATTTCTAAGCGTTCTAATAGACCTCTTTATAAGACTTAGTTTATAGGATCAAAAAATAAAACATCATATCTCTAAAGACGTTGTAATAAGTTTATATGATGTTTTTTGATGTCATAATAAGTTTTTTAAGACACTTTTAATATAAAACGTCCCATTAGTAACTTTATAAGACAATATTTGAAAAACTTCCTATAAAAACAAATGTCCTATAAAAAATTGAGTTTATATGACATTTTATAAGAAATGTCCTATAAAGCTGCTAATGTGACAATTTGTATTAAAAAATGTTCTAAAAAACTTGTTAAGACGGCAAAAAGTAGGGGTGAGCAGCGGAACCGGGTACCCGGCTATGGAACCGGAACTGCCTTGGAACCGCCGGTTCCGGAACCGGAACCGATATGAGTGGTTCTGGTTCCAGTTCCTAAAATACGGAACCAATTGAGAATGGTTCCGGTTCCGGTTCTCAATTTTTCGGAACCGTTACCCGCCGGGTACCCGGTATTTTTAAATAAAAAAATTATTATTATTTTTTAATACCAAATTTATATTAGGTTTACATCTTGAAAGCACGCCGTCATCTTCATTCTTCATCTAAATTCTTCATATAGAATGATTCGTATTTTTTTAAATTGTGTGTTCACTTGGATTCATCATAGTATGTAATCGTTAAACTTTGAAAATTTACCATTATAGTATGTAATCGTTAAACTTTGAACATTTTCTATTAGTCTATTATGGTTTGTAATCGTTAAACAATATTTGTAACCATTATTATATATAATTTGTATTCTTGCTTATTTATTTAGTGTTTTGGCAACGTTTTATTTTTTATTTCTAAATAACAAAATTTTAATATTTTAGGAAGCGGGTATCCGGAACCGGAACCGGTTCCCGGCGGTTCTGGTTCCAATATCTCAAGAACCGCCGGTTCCGGTTCCGGTTCCTGTCAAAAAGGGCGGGTACCCGCCTATGATCACCCCTAGCAAAAAGCGTCATATAAATTTATTACAACATTTTTAGATAGAACGCTTTATATTTTGGTCCTATAAATTAAGTCATATAAAGCGGTCTATTGAGACGCTTAGAGATTGATGGTGTCCTATAAACCCACTTTTGTTGTAATGTGAGATTATTAGCTAAATTAACCATCATCAAATAATTATACGTTTTATATATGTAAAAGTGTTACGTAAGTTTATAATATGTTTTTGGGTGTGTTAACAAATTTATTACGACACTTTTAAAAAAAAATGTCATGGTAACCAATTTTTTTCTAAGGCACTCTGGAGAACTGCCCATGAATAATTTTTTATAGGATACTTGCTAATCGAACACTTGCTTATACAAGACATATTTTTGAATAATATCTTATAAGAAATTAAAAAGACACTATTTCAAAAACAACCCAAAAAACTTGTTAAGACGTCAAAAAACATCCTATAAACTTATTTTAATACTTTTATATAAGACATAGTTGTTTGATAATATGAAAAGTCAATAATTATGACACTTAGGATTTGTTTACTTAGAGCTTAACGGGACAATTGGCTTATTCGCACAACTCTTTTGGTTGTTTACTTGCGGCTTATTCCCACAACACATGATGTATTTGCACGGATCGGCATGGTTATGCAATGGATACTTTGGATTTTTGATTGGGGCATCTACTGTATTAAGTTAAAAACATGACTGCTAATTTGCCACTCGAAGAAACTATGGAAAAGATCCGTGATTATATATAGAAATTAAAGTACGGCAACTTTTGATACAAGATAAAAACACCTGATGAATCAGACGTGGTAGTGTTCATTAAGCTTCACTAGTAGCTAGCAATGGAAAGATAACTTATGGCCTTTCACTTGTGTTTTTTGTTCATGGTAGAAAACAGTATACACCACAAACATAAAGAGTTTAAACAAGCACTCCGATCCGTTTGACAAACAAATCGAAATAACCCGCCATCGGGTCCTTCTGATCAGATTGTAGCTTATAAGGGTACGAATCATATGAAAAACAACACCATTGGCAACAAGAAAAGGAACCATCATCAGCGAAGCTTGTAGCGTTTTTCCGTTCATTAGTTCTGCAGCTCTTTGAATTGCTTTACTACCGCCAAAACCTTCTTCTAAAACTGAAACAACCGCGCTTACCATCCAAAGGGAAGACACATAGAAGTAGCAAACTGGGATGGAAAGAGTGATAGCTCTGGAGAACAAAAAAGACCATGGTTTTGCTATCAAGAAGGTGGTTATGCCATAAGAAGTGATGTAAAGAAAACTGATGCCCAAAGTGATTAAGATCATGTAAAAGTTAGTGAGTAATGGCCTTTTCCAACTTGTTCTTATGTTCAAGAACATGTCTATGGGACCTAATTCTTTCGCAGTGTAAGCCTCATATGAAGATGAAACTGTGGCAATCAAGAAAAGTAGTTTGGTGATAGAAGAAAAGGCTATGGTGGAGTGTTTGACAATAACAACCTCAAGAACGTCGTCGAGTGCACCACGATAAGTGATTAAATCAAGTTTACGACGGAGATCATGACGCATGTGTGGGTGTTGTGCCAACTGCAACACAAAATCTCTAATGAAGGGTGCTTGTATATGTTCCTGAGCGAATTCTAACAGAGAGAATGAAAGAACCGCAAGAAGTAGGATTGGAACCAGTAGGTTCCAGTTATTGCTTGTGGTTTTGACAGACTCCCATATGATTCCTAAGAACCCTAAAGAAGATTGGGGTTGCGGGATGGATTTGTTCTCCATATCTTGATGTTTCTGATTTAGATTATCAAGCTTCATCAAAGTTTGAGTATTCTAGAGCTGAGGGGATATTGGTCTGACACTTTAGCCATTGTCAACTAGCTTTGATTCCAATCCCTGATAACTAATGGTTTGATTATTCCAAGGACGGCTGGTGATCAAGACGTTATAGAAATCTACAATATATATTATATAGGGTTAGAAACATAATTATTCTTATTTAACTAACACACCATTATAGGGAATTGAGTTCAAACGGACACGTGTAATTACAAAAATACACAATTGACGTGTGATCGAAATGGTCCGCTCATTATTTACTGCAACATGGTGGCTCGGGAACGACATTACAGTTGTTTTCTCTACGCTTCGCCAGCCGCAACGGGAAGATAGAGGCCTTTAACTTCCTTCTCATCATGGCTTGTTTTCCGTTTTTGGTAGAAAACAGTAAACGACACGAACATAAAGAGCGTCAACAAGGAATTCAATCCGTTTGTGAAAGAAATGGTGATAGCTAGCTGTGTGCTCTTGCTTAGATCATAGCTTGTAGTAAGGAATTCATCCATCTGATCAATGACAACATAAGAAATAGCAAAAAGAATAGCAAAAAGAATCATCAAAACAAAAGCTTGTAGCCTTTTGCCACTCATTAGCTCTGCAGCTCTCTCAATTGCTTTAACACCAAAAAAACCTTCTTCTAAAACCGAAACAACCACACTTACTATCCAAAGGGCAGCCACATAAAAGTACCAAACTGAGATCAAAACAGTGATGCCTCCAAAGTAATAGGGTGACCATGAATTTACTGTCGAGATAGCGGCTACAAGTGCCGAAATGCAGGCAAGACAAACGATGCCCAACGTGATTAAGATCATGTAAAAGCTAGTGACTAATGGCTTTGTCCAACTCGTTCTTATTTTCAAGAACATTTCTTTTGGGCCTAATACTTTGGCATTGTAAGCCTCATATGTGGACGAAACCGTGGCAACGAAGAAAACGAGTAGAATGATTGAAGAAAAGGCTAGGAACATGACTTTGACAAGGAAAAACTCGAGGATGTTGTCGATGACACCACGACAAGTGGGTTTATCGAGATTATAACTGATGTCATCACATATCCGTGGGTTTCTAGCCAACTGCAGCTCAATATTTTCACCGATTGGTGCTAGTATATAATTCTGAACAACATCTAACTCAGAGATCGAAAGATACACAAGAACTAGGATTGGAACCAGCAGCTTCCTGTTTTTACTTGTGGCTTTACAAGACTCCCTGAAGATTCCAAGTAACCCTAAAGAGGATTGGGATTGTGGTTTGAATTTGTTCTCCATTTTGATGTTTGTGATTAAGATGATTAATCTTCCTTCGAAAATCGAGTTTTATGGCCTTGTCAGTTTTGTCATTTCTGACAAAGATCAACAGTAAAGACATTGGGAGACAAGGTATCTCTTGTTGTTGGCTTACACACATAAAGTTATACATATAATCCCTATGCACACGTATTTTTATGCAAAGTTGTGCACAATCCACATTCTCATAATTCATTGGAATTCAACTTGACGTATATTGCAATCCATGTTCCTTAAAACTAACGCTATAATCTAGTTATATTGTAGAACACCGAATAATTGAATTTCTAGAAGGAAACCCTGATTGGTTTGTAGGTCGTTTTCAATGGTTAAAAACAACTGTTCTTGGATCCATGACGATTCACCATCCATGGGATATATAAATCAGCAATTACTAACAATAAGTAGTATACTTCCTAATACAATTGGAATAGATTGGATAGCTGTAAAATAGCTTGGGCTTAAATCAAAGAAAATGAACAGTCTGATTTGCTTAGATACTTTGAGGGAACCACAATTCCTCCCAATCTCTCTCTCTTTCTCGCACTTTGCACAAGTCTGAGTTTTCATGGAAATAGTCCTACTCCTTGGATAGAAGTCAGATCTTTACACATCTTACCCTCCATAGCCGGTACATGGGGTGGTATTAATTTAGTTTGATTTGGTTCTTGTCTGGACATAAGCATTTTCCTTTTTTATCAAAGGGATTCAACAGGAATATATGAATAATATGATATAGAAATAGTTTCAACATTCAACTAGAAGTGCCTTAGTAATACAAACCCTTAGTTTCTGACTCCAATATGTGTCTCATAAATCATTATGTAAAATGTTAGTTTTAATTCACTGTTGAGTTGAATGGCAATAAACCAAATGGCAACTTCACTGATATCTCCTAAATCTGTAACTAGCAATGAGAATATACTGTCCTTTAATCTTGTTAATGTTCCAGAAACATGAAAGTAAGGTTCAGCCCACACCTTGATATATTTTGGTTGTTAAAAAGGGTGAAAAGGTGTTGGCCGAGCTCATCTTAATCTGTGAGATCGTTTGTCATGGAAACTGATGCATATGGAGTAAGCGAGTCCATTTTCTGAACCAGGAAAGCAGAGTGAACAGCTTCACATCTTACTGACAAGGTGCATGCCCAGCAAGAATTCAAGAGTTGATTTGTCTCAAGATCATTGATTGCTATTGAAATTTGATCAGATAAATTTTTTGTGTATTTTTCAACTCTCTTTGATGGGGAAACTAAAATTAATATAGCCATGATGTCTTGTCTCAGAAGGTCACCACAACAGTTTGATAGGGCAGTTTGAAGATTTTGGACTATAATCAAACTTAAAAACATGATATAAATTGCCATTATAGGGGAAAAAACGGAAAAGATGAGTAATCATATATTGAAGACGATTTTTGATACACGATCGAAATAGGCTAGCCTTTATTTACTTAAATGTTTTGGCAAACGCGATACAGAGGCTAAGCTTGATCACCAGCAGCAATAGGAACATAAAAGCCTTTCCCTTCCTTCTGGTCATGGCTTGTTTTTCGTTCATGGTAGAAAATAGTATAAACCACAAACATAAAGAGTTTCAACAAGCAGAACAATCCATTTGTGAAAGGAATGGTGATAGCCAACCGTGTGCTCCGGCTCAGATTATAGCTTGTAAGGGCATTAGCCGTCATATGAACGACGACATAGAACATGGCATAAAGAACCATCATCAGCGACGCTTGTAGTTTTTTGCCTTTCATCAGCTCTGCGGCCCTCCCAATCGCTTTAATACCAACAAAACCATCTTCTAAAACCGAAACAACCACACTTACCATCCAAAGGGCAGCTACATAGAAGTAGCAAACTGGGATCGAAAGAGTGACAGCTCCAAAAAACAAAACCGCCCATGAATTCACTGCCAAGATGGAGGTTATGCCAATTGAAATTATGTAAAGACAGATGATACCCAAAGTGAGCAAAATCATGTAAAAACTGGTGACCAATGGTCTTTTCCAACTTGTTTTTATTTTCAAGAATAAGTCTTTTGGGCTTAATACTTTGGCAGTGTAAGCTTCTGATGAAGAAGAAACTGTGGCTACCAAGAAAACTAGTGAAATGACAGAAGAAATGACCAGGATCAAGAGTTTGACAAGAAGTATTTCACGAACGTCATCAAGTGCACCAACATAAGTGGTTTGATCGATGTTGTAAGTGAGGTCATGAACCATATTTGGGTGTTTAGCCAACTGCAACACAAAATCTTTAGCCACAGGTGCAAGTATATACTTCTGAGCAAAATCTAACTGAGAGCATGCAAGAAACACAAAGAGTAGGATTGGAAGGAGCAGCTTCCCATTTCTGCTTGTGGTTTTCAGAGACTCCCTGATGATTCCAAAGAACCCTAAAGAAGATTGGTATTGGGGAAAACTGTTCTCCATCTCTTAATGGTTGCTTTTTTTATGGTTAAACTTCATCGTGGTTTTGAGTTTTATAGAGGTGCTTCTGGCCTAGTCATTATCAACTGGTTTTTCTTTGAAGAAACACTGATAACAAAAGGGTTGATTACTTCAAGAAAAGACGAGACAAAACGCGGTTAATTACATAATTAAATATTTTAAGCATTTTCGCAACACTTTAATAATGTTTCATTGTTGGACTTCAATTTTAGAAGCATTTCGTCTTCATGACGTTTTCAAAAGTGCTTCTGGAATGATGACTATGACTTGCCGGCCACGGCTTAATTTAGCAAACCATAAATTGCAGAATACGTCGGAGACTTTTGGTAATTAATTTAGTGATAGAATAGATTGGTTGTTAAATTATAGTTTGGGTTAAGGTCAAAGAAATTGAATGGAAGACCAAAGTTGATGTGGTTCTAGGATTACGATGTAACGATACAACTAATAACACATGAAATTGTGTATATAGAGTCATACACAAAGAGCAAATAAACGATAATTAATCACGTATTTGAATAAGAATTAGACATGTTCGGGTCAAGTACATATGAAAGCATTATTATTTAGACGAAATAATAATAATAATAATGTTATAGTAATATATACACTGCAATTTTTACGTTGTCACTACAACAAAATTGGGTTTATAGGACAATCCTAATTTTTAAGCGTCCTAATAGACCTCTTTATAAGACTTAGTTTATATGACCAAGGAAATAAAGCATCATATTTAAAGGCGATGTAATAAGTTTATACGACGTCGTAATAAGTTTTTTAGGACACTTTTAATATAAAGCGTCAAATTAGAAACTTTATAGAACACTATTTGAAAAACTGTCATATAAAATCAAATGTCCTATAAAAATTGAGTTTATAGGACATTTTTGCTAATGCGACACTTGTTAAGACGTGCAAAAGCGTCATATAAACTTATTACAAGACCTTTAGATATGACGTTTTATATTTTGGTCCTATAAATTAAGTCCTATAAAGCGATCTATTAGGACGCTTAGAGATTGAAGGTGTCCTATAAACCCAATTTTGTTGTCGTGTGTAGAAATATATACATTGCAATTATTATTTGGAAGAGATAATAATGTTGCAGCAAAATATACACTACATTTATTGTTTAGACCAAATAGTCATGTTGCACCAATATATACTACAATTATATTTTGATACTTGTAATTTAATCTTGTATCGTATAAAAGTAAGTATTATATACTTATACTTACTTTTATTTCTTTGTGTATATACAAGAAAATTATAAATATCCTGAAAAGGCAAGAATTGTAAGTTTTAAATTATCGTATGGGAAGTAGGGGTGCTCAAAAACCCGATCAAGCCAACCCAACCCAACCCAATAGGAAATAACCCAACCGGAAGCAATCCAATGTCTAATCGAGTTGTAAAATTGTCAAACTGTAGGTATTGGGTTGATATTAGGTTACTATTATTTGAACCCAACCCAACCCGATGAACCCAATATCCTTTTATTTCTTGGGTTTAATATGATTGTTGAATTTGTATTAATATATACATTAGACAATTACACTATAATGTATGTTTTTCATATACACATATTTTCAATATATTCACATCTCTATATAACTCATTCGTATATATGTTCAGTAACTTTGAACATATATATGTAAATTGAGAAAATTAACTGAATGTTATGGATAAGTTGTATCAAATGGTTGATGATGAAAAAGAAATTATGAGTAGATAAATAACATATTCAAGGTTAGAGAATATTTTAATGTATCAACCCGACCAACCCATACGGGTTGGTTTGGGTTACACTTTGGTTTGGGTTGGGTTGAGTTATGATTTCTCAAACCGCAAACATTGGGTTGGGTTGTTCAAATGTCTTCAACCCAACCCATGAGCACCCTTAAATCCCTAATGGGAAGTGTAGCATATGGGTGATCACATGGAGTTGATGGACTAAACACATACTTGTTCTAGAGCACGAGTTAACTATGGAATCATGGATTTAATGATAATCTTATTAAATTGAATAAAAAATAACACGACATAAAAATGAAAGCTTACGAAGATAAGGTAATGCCATGGATTCCAGTTATAATGAGTATTTGTTATGTTAAATACTTTGACTCTCTATCAAGGTAGAAAAACCCTTTCAAAACAAACTCGCATGCACCTACTTTGTAGGATAGAAATATTGGAATATAAGCATTTTGCTCCGGCCTACATCCTAACTATTTTCATGTTAGGACCGTACGTTATCAACCAATTCGCTAAGTTGAGAATCAAGTTTTCATCCATATTCCAACTAAGTGAATTAATTAACCAAACATTAAATTAAAACCAATTATCCACATAAAAAATGTTCATTGGTTGAAAGCAATCGATTAATATCCATATTCGTTATGAAATCATAAAAAGTTTTGAAGGAACGATAATCGTTAGTTTTAATCTGGTAACCATGGTATCTGACATCTTTGAACTAACTAACTAACTGACGGTAAAAATACAAACCTAATATTGTTATTGTAATTGTTTCTTTGCAAAAGTTGGATCCATGAAACACATCATCTTTCATTTTCCACCTTAGATGTATGGGTTGGGAGGTAACACATTATCAAGAAACTATGTTCATTTTCTAACAATTTACTATAACGCTGTAATACATGATGTGTATTTTTTATATATGGACGTCCATGGACAGTTGGGCATCCTAAAAAGCCGTTTTGTTGTAGTCACTATAAGAAAATTCTAATTAGTTTGACGGAAAAAAGTTGGTCACTAACAATATAAAATTAGTCAGCAAGGCCGTCTAGTGACCAAAAATTGGGTGGTCACTTTTCGTCAGTAAAGGTTCGTCACTAATTTGCATCAATGACCAAGTACGAAAATGGTAACTAATTAGTGACAAACCTAGCATGGCCACTTTGTTTATGACGACTAATCTAGTCACCAAATATCGTCACTAAATTGTTAAAAGTCATCCCTAACTTGATTAAATTAGCGACCAAAGTTAGTGACACCACGAAATAGACCACTAATTGGTAAAGATAATGGTTTCATTAACGTCTATTATAGTCCATTAAATATGATTTCAGTGACATTAATGGTTTAGTTGTGGCCAACAAGGGTCACTAGTATAAATTGTCATTAATTTCTACTACAATTGTTATTGTAATAAAATTAAAACCTGCTAATTTTAACAATGAAAATCTAAAATAATTCCACTTGCATATTCTATTATTCTTGGATCCAAAACTAAAAACAAACATATCGCTATTAGGTCAAATTAATATCAATAAGAACGATTAACATACTGACAAAATGATGACAGAACATAACACTCTAAATTTTGAGATTGCAATGTAGATAACCATGACAGTTTTCCATCATTAAGTCCATCTTCCCCCTTCATCTGCTACTCATGAAATTGGATTTGTTCTTCTTTACGACTTTTTTCCATATACACCCCTGTTCACACAATAACAATTCCCATAATATATCGAATACTTGTTCATATATGAATCATTAACAAAAAAAAAACTGTAGAAGAATCTGATGTCGAGGATCTTGTTGTTGGTTTTGATTCGATGACGAAATTAATTCCTGGATAGTTAGATTGTTATTAATGAGCAGCTACAAAACATCACATTGTCATTAATAAGCGGTTACAAAACATCTCATTGTCATTAATGGACAACTAAAATCTTTTTCCAAAATACCCCTTATAAATATTGTTCACTTATGTTACCTTGTCTATATGTGCAATTATTTACACTTTATGTCATGAATGATCTTAGCCACAAAATTCAAAGATCAATGGTCAAGATTGGTTAACAAAGTTAATACAATAATTTGAGTTAACAAATGAACTTGTCCACATATATATATATATATACACATACATATATATACACACACAGAGAGAGAGAGAGAGAGGAGGTTTGTGTTACAAACCGTACAAACCTTATTCAACCAATCACAGTTTTCCATTTTGTTCATCTTTATTGTGGATGGAGTTAATCATGGATATTATCATCTTCATTATATTAATTTTAGAGAAATATATGAAACAGTTTCATTAAAATTTCACAAGTATTATATAAAACAATTTTATAACCATATATGAAACAAATTCATCAAAAAAAGTATTATATGAAACAATTTCATGAATTTTTTTCATAAGATTAAACAATAGGCTGGTTTGCACGGTTTGTACAAATATGAGTGGTTTGCATTTGATCGCTTATATATATATATATATATACACACACACACACTAGAAGGGTACGTATGCAATGTAGCGAGACTTATCTCGATTTTAATTCTGTCAATGTTACAATAAAGTTTTATGTAGTTTTGAGCAAACACTAATGTTTTTTAATAAAATACAAATTTGAAGATATCATAAAAATTAAAAGATATATATATAAAAAGTTATCATTTTTCAGTGTAATTTCTTTAATTCAAAATTTTTATTATAATTTAATTATGATTTAATAATGAAATAATTTATTTTTGGTTTAATAATATAATTTGTTATAAAGATAATAACTAAGTATTATGTTAGAACTCAATAATATTCTAATTATATTTTAGATTTTATATTTAAACTGAGAAGTTTATCTTGTATTTAGTTATATTTATTTAAAGTTAGTTACACGAATTCAAACATGGAGCTTTAATAAATTGTACTTACGTACAATTTACTTGTAATCTTGAATTTTAAGTAATATGCATCAATAAACAGTACTTTATGCATAAAAATTGGTTTTAATTTTTTTTGTCAAATGCTTTAAAATATTTTGTGTGTGTGTATATATATATATATATATCAGTCAGATTCTAAAATGACTATATAAACAAAACATATAAATCAAAATGATCAATATTCTGCAAGAGAGAGACGGTTTGTATCGTTCAATTGCTGATATTTCTTCTACTTATCTCCTTTTATATTTGATATTAAAATTATAATGTAACTCAGGTAAATACGTAGAAAGAAATGAAAGATTCAAGTTTCTAAAAGTTACCATATCAACTAATGGAAATTGTGCCAGCAGCGAGTGGAATTTCATTCATCAACGTATCTTATTTATAGTGGTTATCCTCACTTGCAAACTTTTCACAAGATTTTACCTAACAAGCGTTGAATATACACCGTTGGGGGATGTTTGGTTGCCTCCTCTTTGGTAGCGAACTTTTTGTAATGACCATGCATCCTACATCGTCTATGAATCTTATGTCGATTGGCCAACTACATTTGTATGAACTTTCAATGTAATGACTACTACTTTTTGTAACGAAACACACTCATAAAAGAAATTTTTTAAGAATTAGTGACCACTTGATGACCAATTTCATCTTTTGTCACTAAAATACATATTAGTGACTAAAATTAATGTATGATGGCCTTCGTTATCGTCACGAACATCACAGTTATGACTAAAATATAAGTAGTCACAAACTAAACTTTTTCTTGTAAGGAGTGAATGATAAGCACAAGGATAAATCACATGAATTGTATTAAAGAGGCTGAAATATACATTTAAATAAAAATTTGAAGTCTTTACATATTTGAATCTATATAATACAATTTACCAAATAAATACAGACACGAGAAATTATACATACATATATACATACACACATATATATATATAGAGAGAGAGAGAGAGAGAGAGATGAGTTATTATTCAATCTTTTACATTTGTACAATCAATATAACTCAATCTCAACCATCCATTTAATTTGATTAATATGTGATTTCTTAAAAGTTTTGATTGTTTCTTAATATAAAGTATTGATTATAATTAATAAACCTTAGTCATCTTACATAAATATTCAAATCATAATAAATGAACTCTCTTTATTTTTATAAATATCTTAATTAAATGGGTTGCATTGGTTATATAAATAGACATGGTTGAATTTGAAATATACCCTATTATATATATAGGGGCCTAATCAAATGAGAACTAATTAGTTTGTGGTAACTGTGAGGTCCAATCTCAACCACAAATCAATGAATAAATTAGGAAATTAATAATTATGGTAGTTTGAGTTAAAATTATAATTAGAGGGCATATTTTGTATTTTTAAAAAACTTCTCTCCCATTTCTCATCTCTCCGACCTCCAATCTCCGGCCTCCGGTGAAATCGGTATCACAGTATATCACAAATGGGTATCACATCGTGTATCTTTGTTTTTAAGGTTTGAGTTAGTATCACAGTATATCACAATGGGTATCACATTGTATATCTTTGTGATTACTTGGTACCTGTCGGATTAATGTTCACCGGAGGCCGGAGATTGGAGGTCGGAGAGATGAGAGAGGACAGAGGAGTTTTTTTAAAATACTTAAAATGTTCTCTAATTATAATTTTAACTCAAATTACCATAATTATTAATTTCCTAATTTATCCGTTGATTTGTGGTTGAGATTGGATCTCATAGTTACCACAAACTAATCAGTTCTCCCTTGAATGGGCCTCTCTCTCTCTCTCTCTATATATATATATATATATATATATATATATATATATATATAATTACATAACCAGTCCTATTCTTGTAACCATTTTTAAGGATTTTCATATTGCGTAAAAGTAAATTTGTTATCCTATATTTATTAATGTATATCAAAACCAGGGCTGTCATTTAGTATGTTAAATGTGAGATTTTGAATGGGACCTTCAAAATTTTGGGGCCCAAATTTACATGTCTTTTTTATCGACCTATATAAAACTATAGCCGAAATTATTTAGGTTCAAACCATTAATTGTTTGGTTTTAGGTTCAAATTATTAATAGTTTAGGTTTAATTTTAGATTGTTAATCGTTTTTGGTTTAGCGCATTTTTATTCTTAACATATATTATTCATTTATGATCATACCCGTAACGTATCAAAACCGGTAGAGATTGAAAAGTAATTGCTAATAGTCATGAGCCTGTCGTTATCCTGGGAACTTCCAACCGTGTTCCGTACTGCGAAAAAGTCAACAGTCTTTGCGAGCAGTTGACAAATTTAATATGATAACAGCAGTTGTGTATTTGTTATAATAAATAAGCCTTCATAGTTTCTCTTCCTCACCACCAAGCATCAGCATTTGCAAGAAACATGACCAACCTTTCTGGTTTTCTTGAACTCCTGAAAGGACCACTCAAAATCCTTTCCCGAAATGGAAAGCTCATGGCTTTCACAGCCATCCTCTACCTTATCTTCTACTCCATCTCCTTCCTCTTATACACTTACTCTTCCAATCCATTCATCACCGATTTCGTCATCAAACTCTTTAACTTAGCCTCCGAACGCCCCGGTACACCTGAATACACCAAACTCTTGGCTGATATCCGTGAAGATATCGGCATCTTTCTGGGAATTGAAGTTGCTTATATCATTCTACTCTTCTTCGTAATCGTTTTGGCCCAAACCGCCATAGTTATTATTGCATCAAGCTACTACAGTGGCGATAATTTGTCGATCAAGGAACTACTTAGGAAGGTGTCGATAACATGGACTCGACCATTCGTCACTTTGTTCTATGTACAACTTCTTGCCCTTGGTTACATGAGTTTGTTCTTTTGGCCTTTGTTTGTTCCATCGCTTGTTCTTTTTGACCATCCTATCATCCTGATCATCCTCCTGGTCATCCTTGGCATTCTCATATTCACATTCTATCTTTACCTATCTGTTGTTTGGGCTTTAGCAGTGGTTGTTTCTGTGGTTGAGGATAGTTATGGGCTTTCAGCACTTGGGAAAGCTCGAGAGCTTGTGAAGGGCAATCGAGGAGATGGGTTTCTTCTGAATTTGTTTCTGGTTCTTGTGTCGCTGGTTTTTGTCCCGTTTCAAATGAAACTGTCGTCTTCAATGCCGATTGTTTTTGTGGTGAGCCAATCTGTTTTCACTTGCGTAGTGAGCATCTTTCAGGTCATGGCATACAGTGTCTTCTATTTCCAGTGTAAGAATCACATGAAGAAATCAGAGGGTTTTGAATACCATCAGATACCGATTGCAGCTGTTCTGGATGAAAATATACCGTAATCGATTTATGCTCCTCTTGTCTTGTTTTTGTGTTCAAATATTCAATCATGTTTTATTTCGTCCTACGAATGTGAAGTAATGAATCAAGTTTGCTTTCTCATTGTTGTGTTTTAGTTTCAAGAACTTTTCTCAGATGTTGAAATCGTCCACTGACTGCGTCAAATGGGTCGACGACTAAAGTTGTTAAATTGTCCTTATCTATATATGTTTTAGGAGGTGTTTGATTCGTCGGAATCTAATAGAATTGGAATGGTCAATTTCGTTGATCGAATTCCATTCCAAAGTTTGACTACTCATGGAATAGAATTGAATTCTAAAGATTCTCTCATTTTAGGATTTCACCGTTCCTTCATAAAAGTGATGAAATTATGATTCATTTCATCCAAAATTGTGTAAATGACAAAAATACCCTCATTAGAATTTTACTTCCTTTTGAAATTCCCGATTTCATCTATTTTTCTTTTGGAAAAACTCTACTTTCAACCGCATTTGCAGAGCATTTATACCCACCAAACAACGGTAAATGCTTTGTCTTCTTCTTCTGGGTTTCATCCTTCATGCCTCCATGGCTTCTCTGTCTCCGGTTCTTTAGATCCACCAACCCGATTTCTTGTGGTTTCAACAGACCCAACTATAAAAAGCTCCATTTTGATGATGGTTTCGGGTTGGATTGATGGTAACTCCTGGTATTTGACCTGGGAAAAACACCTCTTCGGCACAGCACATTTGATTTTCCGGCAAATTAAAACCGGCGCCATTGAAATCAAATTCGTCTTCTTCTTTTTGTGTTGGTCGGAAAATTGTTTTGTGGGATGATTAGTTGCAGGTTTTCGGTGGCTAGATCGCACAAAGATAAAGCTTCTTCACTGTCGTAAAAAAGTTAAAAAATATCAAAGAAAGGGAATTTTTTTTTGTCTTTTTTATCATTCCATTCCAATTATGTTAAAAAATATGTATTTACTTCGTTATGGTCAAACTGCTTCTTGGCCCGTTGGATAGATTAGTATAAAGTGTTGGTGCAATAATCAGTTCTTACCGTTACTCGACTCACTACTTCTCGATGCATATGTAGCTTTACCTAAAACATCAACGTGAGTACTCTTCTTGAGAAGGCACTTTACAAGAAAAATCCTCATTACTGACAAAAATATATTTGGTCACTACCAAAATAAAAATTGGTCACTAAGGCCCTTCAATGACGAAAATTTGGGTGGTTATTTTTCGTCACTAAAGGTCCGTCACTAATTTACGTTAGTGACCAAATTCAAATTAGTGATAAAACTAGAGTGGTCACTGTGTTTGTGACAACTAACTTGGTCACTAAATGTCGTCACTAAATCAGTAAAAGTCGTAACTAATTTTTGATCATATTAGCGACCAAAATTAGTGACCACCATAAAGTAGGTCGCTAGTTAGGTTCAAGATAACGGATCCGTTAGTTGGTGTTAACGTCCATTAGAGACCAAATATGTGGTCACTGACCATTAATTAATGGCTTCTAATGACCAAAAAGGTATTCACTAATTAAAAGGATATGAACAAAAATTATGCTAATTTCTACCTCAATTGTATTGCAATAAAATTTAAACCTACTAATTTGTAGTAATGAAAATCAAAAATATTAATTCCATTTTCATAACGTAAAATTCTTTGATCCGAACAAAAACAAACACGTCATTGTCTATCATCAAATTATGTCTATCTATACATCCTAAAAGATTTTAGTATCAACATTTACACCACATCATCTAGCAACTTAAGCACATACAAGCTTCCACTTGTTCTTACTGTCAATTTCATGAGACTCGTTTGCTTTCATTCCTTCTTCAACGCCCATACTAAGATTTCTTGATGGTGTTTCTATGGCGGTCCTTGTAGCTCGATCGTTGTCTGCTTCTTAATATGATTTTTCATTAATAACCACTAAAAGATTTCAGCTTATTCACACAGATATATATATATATATATATATATATATATATATATAGGGTGGTTTAAATACTAACCCAATATTTTGTGCAAACTTTGCTAACCCACATCAACCAATAATGTTGCATCTTTGGGTTTGGTTAAAATGTAACTTACATATTAATGATAAGGATATTTAGGTCATTAGTCATTCTTATGTAACTCCCAAATATTTTAATTGGGAGTTACAAATCCTACAATATCTCAAATTGATCTTCAT